ATCTATTACACATTTCATTGCATGTTGAACACCAATCATACAAAAATAAACCAATACAGTCTGGCCCTTAAGGAGCTCACAGGCAGGTAGGGAAAAGAGTTATGTAATTTATCTTATATCAAATTTGATAATCTGATACATACTTTACAGAAGGAGAAAACATACAAGGGAGTCACGCAACTTTTCCTGGGAATGTTCCATGGAATAGATGACATCTTAGCTCAGTTCTAAAGGATGAGTAGGAGGCAGCTTATTTCACAGCTTACACGCCTCTTTCTAAACAAACAGCCATTCATTTCTTCAGTCAACAAAAAGCTATGAACACCAATTATGTTCCATACACTGTGTCTTGTGTTGGAGACCCAGTCAAATTACAACTTTCCATATTTCTTCCCTTGACATCACTGGTGTCCAGCAGTCTACCTCCCTCATCCAAATTCCCAACAATTCTTACACTTCTACCTATTCCTAGTTTAGCAACTGTTACCCTAATAGATCTTAGTAAGGCCACCACCCAAGAGGTAAACAAAACTTTGATCTGCCTGTTAATACAGACTAATCCTGCCTAGGTCACAAAATCAGGGTGGTAATGCTGGCAGAGTAGCTAGCAATGCACTGACTGTGGGTCCAGATCTGCCAACTGTTAGATGTGCGTTGGTATCTTGGAAAGCTACTTTACTTCATCAAAAAGTCTGGAGTCTCTTCCACCCTGCCTAATTCATGCCAGGATCAATAGTAAATTAATCTATAGGTATTTGTTGAGCATCTACAATGTGCTTATGTCAATGGTTCTCAACCCTGGTTGCGCATTGACATCAAAGCTCCCAAGCCAGATATGAATATTTTTAAATGAAAAATTCTGATGTAAGACAAGTTTGGTGCCCTGACCTTTAGGCATCGCAGAATAAAAAAGAAGTATAAGACCCAGCTCTTCTCTTGAACAACTTATTCACAATCACAACAGACCTGGAATAGGATGTTAGTCCCGTAATTTGTTATCCTTTTACAATATTATCTGTGCCTATGAAATAGAAGAAAATGGAGTAATCTGGATAAGAATTGCTCCTATTCCCTAGTCTAATCATATACCGACTCCACCTGCAACTCCTGGGATGCCTTTCTACACCCCTTCTACCTTCCAGACAGTGACAGTACTATTCTCAGGAACTGTGGAGACACCCAAGTAGAAGAATAAACTGAGGCCCTCAAATCAGGTGGCCGTGTGGTATCTTAAAGTCCAGGATCTCTCAAATTCATGCAGTCATGGAGCTTCTTTTAGAAAGTCTTTAGCCCTGTCCAGGTAGCTCAGTTGGTTAGAGCGTGGTTCCAATACACCAAGGTTGGGGGGCTCGATCCCCAGTCAGAGGACATACCAAAAAAATAAAACAAAATAAAAGCAACCAATGAATGCATATATAACTAGTGGAACAACAAATCAATGTTCCTTTCTCCTTCTCTCTCCCTTACCCTCTAAAATCAATAGATAAATTTAAATAATAAGGAGAATTCTTTAATCTCCAACAATACCAGTCACTTCAGTCTATAGTTAGAGTGTCTAAGAAAAGTAGAGAGCAGACTGAGCTTTTGTAAACTTAAGAGGTCTTTGGCCATTTAAAGAAATCACCCAAATTCGTAAGGCTAGTAAACTCGTTTCTCATATAGCATATACTTAAATAAAAATACTCCAAAATATTAAAAATATTTTAGTAAACTCTGTTTCAAGATGTGCAAGTTGTGGAGGCTTCATAAATTAAAACAAAAATTTTTTGGTATAAATCCCATCCAGCTGTGATGTTTTATACGAATCACTACCCTGAAGGGAACGTCAGCTTTAAATTCTGCAAACATGAATCTACAGATCTTCACCTGATTAAGTCTTCCTCCGAATTATATGGAAAAGGTATAATTCTCTTAATTGCTATACAAAGAGGAGCACAGTCACTAAAAATTACTCTTTTAATAAAAGGGGTATAGACTATCAGTCAAGCATCTAAAACAGGGACCAATGAGGATATTAAAACGTAAATTTTGGTACTGATGAAAAATGCAAATTTGTACATATTAATTAGAATAAGATTATTATATGAAAGAAACAAGAAAAAACCCCACAAAACTTCTATCTAATACTGTTTTCAGGACCCATAACTTTGAAATTAGTTTGGTTTACAGTATTTTTTCTTGTAATTGTTCTTGTCATCATATAAATTTATCCACAGACGTCCACAATCTTTTAACTTCAGTTTCAAAATCCAAAAGGCTGCAAAAAACAAGTTTTTCATTATTTATTTAGCAGCAAAACCTGACATGAAATGACATGAATCTATTTATAGTATTTATCCCAGTTGGTACGAATATTCTGACATTTTACTACAGAAATGTGTTTGATTACAAGGTGCTACCCCAGGCCTCTTTGGGATGTTACATAACGACAGTACATGTACTATATTTCATTTCTAAAATCCAAAAAATTCAAAATTCAGAAATACCCATGGCCCCAAGAACTTTGTGTGTGGGTGGTAGAGTCACAAGATACTGTGGACTGGTATACTAATGAAAACTAAATCTTATACAGAAAATATAACCAATACTGAGAATAAAGGTAGATCTTCACGTGCAATAAAAACTCATTGTCTTAACAACTATTCACAATACACAATCCTATAAAATAAAGCATTACAAAGACTTAACAAATGTCAATAACCTAACACATCATTATGTGTTTTTCAAGTGGTGGTGACATCTGCATCATCCAATACCCAGATTAATTCCTCTTAGGTTAAATACACTGATTTATTTATTTTTTAATATTTTTTAAAGATTTTATTTGTTTATTTTTAGAGAGAAGGGAAGGGAGGGAGAAAAAGAGGGAGAGAAACATCACTGTGTGGTTGCCTCTCACATGCCCCCTCCTGGGGACCTGGCCTGCAACCCAGGCATGGGCCCTGACTGGGAATCGAACCAGTGATCCTTTGCTCAATCCACTTCACAGGCCCATGCTCAATCCACTCAGCCACACTAGCCAGGGCTAAAATGCACTTCTTTAAATCTGCGTTAAAATAGACTCAAAGACTGCAACTGGTTAATTATTTTGAGAAAAAGAATCATCCATTGATAAGTAATATATGCAGTAAAATGTTCTAATTTTTTTTTAAGTTTTTCTCAGAGGGTTTAAGATTTAAAATTATTTTATTCCAGATTACAATTTCTGAGCATTGAGTAAATTACAGTTGATTTTTTCTGTGAAAGCAGAGTCTGGTACAGAGACAGCAACAGGGACAGCTCTTAATATATTTGAACAGGAAGAAGAGTTTCCTTCCTCCTTCAGTTGCTGCTTTCTGGTTTTAGAATTTCAAACAAAGAAATATATATTGGCTCCACTGCTAAGAAACGCCCTCTTTCTCAGCAACTTCCTCTTCCAATTTTCTTCCCTTCCATTGACATATCAGAACAATACACAATGACGGTCCTACCATTTTAATTAACCAAAAGCTCCAAGATTTAGAAAAATTAAGGGCTGCAATTTATAGTACACAACTACCTACCAATCCAGGTCCACAATCTTCACTCAGCTAGAGGTAGAAACAGAGCACAAAGAAACATGCTTAGTCAGATGCAGGCTATTGAAACTTTTACTCCAGGAATCCAAAGAAATTTGAACCAACAAATGGGACATTTCTCCCATCCCCCCAGAAACTTGGCCTTCATAGGAAGGAGAAAACGCTACTGGGCCGGCACCACTCTGAACCAAGCGTCAAGTCTACACACCAATGATAGTTGGCGAACTTTCTTCTGTAGGCCAGCCAGCCAGGATTCAAATTGAACTCTCTGAAGTTCTAACATCCTTCTTAAGTGACTTCTACAATTTAGAAATGATCCTTTACAACTCACAGACTGAACAAAGGGGGAGACCAAGACCCTGCCTGTCTCCCAGAAGGGTCTGGGACCAGACCCCTCCCCCAACATGTGACAAAGCAAACTTCTCACAAGTGCACAGAGAATTCCCCCTTGTCCAATGAGTCTCAAAGGAAACACCTTATCCTTGGTAAGTTCTTCACCTTACTGGCTGACCTTGAGCAAGTTACTTAACTCCTTAACTTAGTTTCCTTATGTGTAAATTCTCAAGAGTAGCTGTAAAAACTAAATGAAAACATGCCACAACAAGGTCTGGCACATAGTAGGAGCAGCATAAATGTTCTCCCTCCTCCTACTTACCCTCCTGAATTCTTTTGGGCCTAAATTTCAATCATAGCCCCAAAAGGCTCCAAGGATTCCTTCCTCTTCTGACTTTATGGAGAACTATATAAAACTTCCCCATCTCAGAGGCCCTAGGATCCTGGAGAACCAAGTCATCACTCCATCATAGTCTAGGGTCCATCAAAAGCCTTCGTCAAAGAGCCCATTTAGCCAACTCTCATTCTGCAGTACCATCCTGAACACACAGGTACCGCCAAATTACTCTGCGGTCCCGTCCTGTACACATAGGTACACACACAGTCCCAGCCACCGCTTGGCAACTTAGCAGGCAGGCCAGGGGTTTGAAAGAGCACCTGAATTCCTTCATGGCCAGTAGATGGAAACTGAGGCTCCACCTGGGGATGAACTTGCCCAAGATCTCAGACAACATCTGGGATCCAACTCATGTACATCTGCCTGCAAAGCCTCCTCTTTGCAAAAGGGGCAACTGAGATCCAGAGAGGGAAGTGACTTGCCCAAGGTCGCATAACGAGTAGTGGCAGAGCTAGGTCGGGTTAGGGCACTTTAGAAACATCACGGACTCGTGGACCTCTCCAGTCCCCGAGGGGATCTCCTGGACACCTCCTTCTAGGGGAGAGGAGCGAAGAGTAAGACGCCATACGGCGCAGACAACTCATCCTGCCTCTGCTGGTCCGTGGCAGGAGGCGAGGTTCCCACACCCGCAGGACCTGCGCGACTCGGGAGGGGCTGCCCGGCCGGGCCCAGTGCCTCACAGAGGGGCCCGCCAGCGGGGACTTGTTGCTCACCTGGTCTCGCGAAGTCGCCCTCAGCGGCAGAGAGGCCGACTAGCCACCCTTCTCCGCCCGGGATCTGTTCCCGCGGGCCACCTCGCCGGCTGCCACACTGCCGGACCCCCCTCAGTGCGATACGCCCCCAGCCGTGGTCAGCCGGCCCGCGTCCGCCATTACGCGATTCCCCGCCCCAGAACGCAGCCACACCCCGCCAAAGACCCTGATTGGCCCTCTGCCCCACCCTCCTGTGGGTTTCTGGCATTTCATTGGCCTGGATGGAATGCCAATTAAATAGCTACGCAAAAGACGTACTCAAGGGTAGAGTCCCGGGAACTCCACCCGAGCTACTTCCGCAATCGGAGTAAATAGCCCGGGGGTGGGGGGTGGCAACCAAGTGAAGTAGGGGTGGAGATTAAACTAAATCAACTCCTCAATTCAAAGTAGGAAAATTCCACCCAAGAAAGTGTAAAAACTCATACAAAGTGTTTTGAAAGACGAATTCTTGTTCTCAGAGTTAAAAGAGCCAGTATTTTTGGTGGAGGGGAGGGGCCAAGTTCATGAACTTGCTGTGGACACCCCTCAAGTTGCGATAGTTTTGTCCCGTCCCTCCCGGTCTAGGGCTCGGCAGAAAGTAGGGTGGAGAGAGTGAGTCACCTCCTCGAACTCGAACCCGAACGCTCCGGTAAAGGATCCAGTCCCCGGCGAGGCCCGGGATCCTGAAACTGGGAGGTGATTTTGAAAGACCAGGGTCAGGTGAGCTGGACCTCGGTTCAGCCCCCACCTCACTCTGCGACTTGAGACTATTTCCTGAATTTATCTGGGTCTCAGTTTGTCCTTATGCAAAACAGGAACAGTCTTGTCAGCCTCCTGTCCTCTTAGTCCTGGAGTGTTTGATGAAGATTCATGTATGAGTGGGTGCATCTTGATTAAGAGGCCCAGTGAGTCTCAAAGGAAACACCTTTGAGCTGGATGTCAATGTGACTCACAAGTTAGCAAAGACACCTCACTTAGCTCTCTAGAACAATTTCATAAAGCAGAAAATGTTCTCCTTTTTTTGTTTGTTTTTAATTTATTTTTTATAAAGTATTTTTTAAGATTTTATTTATTTTTAGAGAGAGGGGAAGGGAGGGAGATAGGGAGAGAAACATCAATGTGTGATTGCCTCTCATGTGCCCCCTACTGGGAACCTGGCCCGCAACCCAGGCACGTGCCCTGACTGGGAATCAAACCAGTGACCCTTTAGTTCTCAGGCCAGCACTCAATCCACTGAGCCACAGCAGCCAGGGCAGTGTACTTGTTTTGCAGAAGATAAAACTGACTTACCGTGGTTCACCCAGGGAATTTGAAACAACCCTGAGACTCAAACCTGTATCTTTTGGCTTCCATTCTTGTATGCCTCCCTTCCAGGCCTGGTGTGCCCTGGGAAAGACTTCCCTCCCCCAACCCCTTAGCATTCCAAGGAGGGTCTTGAGGGTGCCAGGCCAGTTTCTCATCTCTCCAGTCATCAAACAGGCACACGCCACCCCCCAACTATTGTTAATCACTAAGGTTTCAGGGGAAAAGTGACTCTCGGTGTGTCCCTGAGCTGTTTCTGGTATCCTAAGAATCAGGAAGTGAGTAAGGGTTGACAGGTGGGTCAGCAACCAGGCAGAATCTCAAAGGAGGAGGACACAGAAGCTCCAAGAGGGGCAATGACGCCATTGTGGGCCCTCAGCTGGGGAGCCTCCATGCCAAGGGCTCAAATCCAGGTCTGTCTGAGCTCAGAACAGAGCTCTTCACTTTAAGATTGTTATTCCCAGAAGGCCTGCCTTGGCTGTAATTTCTAGTTGTTTTTCTTCTCTGGCAAAAAAAGGAAGTGGGAAAGGAAGCAGCATAAGACTTTAAAAGGGCAGAGACCACCAACTAGGTGATTCCGTGGCCCCAGTGCTGGCTGAGTCATGACCTCCAGGCTCAAATTGGGACTTGTGGTTTGACAACCAATTACTCCTTAAATCCCCTCTGTGGCCGTTGGGTGCTGCAAGGTGGCAGGTGCTGTGCAGAGCCTTTGGGGGTCAGATGGACCTGAGATTGAATCCAAGCTCCACCACTTTCTAACTCTCTGAGCCTCACCTACATCTTCTCTAAAATGGGGACAGCAGGGTAGTTGTGAGGATTCAGTGAGTTAATTGTGGAATTAATAGGTCACGTGTGTAAAGTGCCTAGTATCTATTTATTCATTCATGAATTCATCTATTCAATAAAATATTAAGCATTGATCATGTGTAGGGTAGCCTGCCAGTCTTTACAGCTACAATCCTGAGCAAAACAGACTAAGACCCTCACGAAGCTTAGAGTTTGATGAGGAAGTAAGTTGTTAAACAAATGAACAGATGAATCAAAATACAGTTAGAAACTGTGATAAGGAACACGAAGGAAAAGTACAATGTGTTTATCAGAGTGAATGTCAGGGGATGGGTTGGGGTCTGAAGAAGCTTCCTGAAGAGGTGATGTCAATGAGTGGGGGTTAACTAGGCAGCAGCTAGTTGAGAGAATGTTGCAGGCCAAGGGAGAGGGTGCGGAAGGCATCTAGGCCAATAGAGATAGTGGCAATGGGGAGGAAGGGCAAAGCTCGCTGGGGCCTAAGCAAAAGAGGAGTTACAGGGGAGGGAACCTGGCTTTGAAAGTGGGCCTCTTCTCCGAGGGTCTCTATGCTTTTCTGATAGTGCCTGAAAGAATGCAAGCTCTGAGGCCAACCCACCTGGATTTGAATCTTGGCTCTGCCATCTTGGACTGTGTGACCTTGAGCAGCTACCACACCCTTGTGCCTTAGCTACTCTTCCAAAAAATGGGGATAATGATTGAGGGTCATAAGGTGGAGGTGAGGATTCAATGTGGAAATGTATATTAAGCATTCTGGCACATAGAGGACACTCCATAAAAAGGTGCTTGGTCTTTCCAGCATGAAGGGAAGGGGAACCCGAGGCAACAGATGCGAGAATCTATACACTAGGCAAGTGTTTGAACTTTATTGCCATAGAAGACTTTGGAGCCAGGCAAGACGGATTCAAATCACAGTTATACCACTTCCTAGCAGTGTGACTTGGGGCAAGTGACTTCACCTATCTGAGCCTCAGTTTCCTTATCCATAAAATAGAGATCATAATTGTTTCTACTTCCCAGAGCTGTGAAGATTAAATGAGATAATAAATGTTAAGCGCTTAGCACAGCGATTGGCACCTAGTAAGCTGCTGTTGAATGTTCATTTTTTTAATTGTTAACACTATTACAGATGTCCCCATTTTCCCAGTTGAGTGTTAATTTTATTTATTTTTTTAAATTTTAATAACTATTATTATTGATATCAGCCTGTACTAGATAAGATTCTGGGGCTTTTCTTGAAGGTTGTCTAACAATAGGAGACTTTGTTTCTCCTTTTAGACAATAGAAAATGACTAATTGCTTTCAGAGGGGGTAATGCTGTGCCTTTTAATTATAGTATTAATAAGCACTAACGTTGAACATTAACTATTGTATATGCTAACCATGTGCTAAGTGCTGTATATTCATTAACTCATAAATCTGCATAGCCAGACCTATAAGTTAGACCATATTATTACCATCATTTTACAAGTGAGATAAAAGAAACAGAGAAGTTAAGCGACTTGCCCAAAGCTACCCAGCCAGGAAGCAGCACCTCTGGAATTTAAACCAAACCTTGAACCTGAAGGGTTTGTTGTTCTTGAGGGGCAAGCCCTCCCTCTTCTATTAAAGGAGTTAGAGTTATCACCTGGAGAGATGAAATTATTCACTGGCAGTGGTAGCAAGTCACCAGGTTCTGAAAGTCAAGCCCTATCCCTTTCCCATCAATTCTAAAAAGTAACTTTTGTCTATTCCCTGTCCCCTGAGGCCGATGTGAGCAGAAAACAGACCCTCTTCCTCTGCCAGGGGTATAAAAAATATTTGGAGTCACCACAACTGGGTCCGAGTCCCAACCATACCAGTTAAGAGCTCTGTAATCTTGACCAAGTCACACCCCCTCTTGGAGCCTCAGTTTCCTCATCTATGAAATAGAGATGATAATAGGCCTGCCTATGGGGCTGTTGTGAAGAGCAAAAAAAAATAAGGCCTGCATAAATTACAAAGTACTGTCAGCACAAGGGTTCCTTTCCTTGTTGCTATGGGAATGACAAGCACTCTGGGAAAGCAGCCCAAACCAGCATAACAGGCACAATAGCCTTCTCTGAAAAAGAGTCCTGAGTTCAAGTCCAAGATCTTCCTTTTACACCCTGTGTGACCTTGGGCAAGTTATATAACCTGGCTGAGCCTCAGTTTCCTCATCTACAAAATGGAAGGAATCATACTGATCTTGAAGAACTGGAAAAAAAACATAAGAATGCATAAAAAGCCATGAGCCAATGGCTGGTACAGAGCCGGCAGAGTGAAACCTGCTAAGGGATTTTAGGGGGAGAGACCAAGAAAAATTGCCCTGATCCTACCATGCCACCCCTCTCTGAGGGGAAGAGAGTAGAGAGCTCTGTGCTCAGTCTAGGTCTAGAATGGTCTCCAGCCACTGCCCTACCTCTTCCAGCATTCTCAGGTCTTGCTGGGATTCCAGTCTCTCTCTCTCTCTCTCTCTCTCTCTCTCTCTCTCTCTCTCTCTCTCTCTCTCTCTCTCTCTGTCTCTCCCCCCCCCCCCCAACAAGTTCTCCACTGAGCAATCCCTGGGGGCCCCCCCCACCCTCAGTTCCAGCCAAGCTCGAAGGCTTTCCCCGCCTCCACATCCTTAATCCACAGCTTTTGCATTTGCCATTCCTTCCACCTGGAATGCTCTCTCCTCCCAGAGAGCCTTTGATGGGGGACGAGGCGGGTGGCTGGAGGGAAAGGATCTGGAATGATTCTCCCCCACCTCCTCACTCCCCTCCCTTGCATCCCCCACACTGCATGCCTGACCTTCCCCCTCCCAGCTTAGGGACGAGGCAGCGATGGGAGGGGGAGGAATAGGGGGAGGATTCAGTGAAGGGCCCTCTGTGGGGTTTTTCACCTGCTCAGAAGAGGCAGACGGAAATGAAAGCTCTAGAAAAATGCCTGCTGCTCTGCTCCTGAGGCCCCAGCTTGGTGAAGCCTCCCTGCCTTCCCGCTGTGCCATCTTCTTTTCCTCCCCCTCCTCCGGCAGGCAGGTGCCACAGTCAAGGAACATTGGTGGGCGG